ATGTAAAAGAATCATTTGTACGACATTTTAAATTGAAAAATCAAATTTAAATTAATTCAATTATTTTTATTTTTTTTTATTTTTTTACACTTTACCATAGCTATTACTTATATTTATTCTCTTGTATATTCAATAATTTTATTTTCAGTCAGAAATTTAAATAATAAATAAAATGTTAAATTGTGGTATTATAAATAAAATACTGAAATGAAGTTAACAAACATTTGATCAAATATTTAAAAAAGAAAACGAGGAAAATTTTATAAAATAAAATTATTTTATAAAATAAAAATGAAATCAATAAAAAGTGCAAATATTTTAAAAAGAATTTGGTTAAAATTTCTAATGGTAGTTGAAGAATCCTGACAAAAAATACTAAAATAATTAATTAAAATTTTGTACCTGATCACAAACCTATCATCATAAAACTTGAATTAAGTAAATTAAACTATTATTTAATTAATAATCTTAAGTTAAGTGAAAAAAAAATTTAATATTAGAAAAAGGCAGTACACGAAAATTATCATTAAATTTATAGCAACAAATTGAAATATCGAAAATGTATAACACTTTTAAATAAGGAATGTAATGCTAAAATCAAAAATTTAACAGTATAAAACGAGCAGTAACACCAATTAAAAATTAAAGGCTTATATTTTTAAGTTGTTATAAATTTTATGAGTAAAATCTAAATGTGCAAACAATATTAAAATAATTAAACGAATTACTTGCAACACAATATAACAAAATAAATTGAAATTTATTGTTATCATTGTGATAAAAAAAGAAGTGAAACACGTGCTACGAAAGAAGTGCTATTTTATTACATTATTATTAATATTTGACTGTTTTAATTCTTTATCTCTTGAGGAACGTCATACAATTATTTTTTACTATATTCAAGTGATAATATTGGTTGTTATTTAATATTTAAAACTGCGTTACTAACTGTGATTACAATTTTTATATAAGTGTACAAAATTTCTTTGAATAAAATATTTTTCAAAGAAAATTAAATATAACAATTAAATTTATAATTGTGCTTCGTTCCTTATACATAGTTGCTATTTAATTATACACGAGAAAATATTTCTATAACAACTTTAAGAAAAATTAAAAGTTTTGATTTAGAAAATGAAATTAAAATTGATATTAGGTTATGTGGTCGAAAGATATCATCATTCTAATGTATATGGTAACAATAGAACAGTAATATTAAGAAATGAAGGTAAGTTTCTTGTGTTATCAGAAATAGGTAATATTTAAAACTTATTTAGTATTGTTATTATATTGATTGTTTACTCGTATTTGTTCTTTACTCTCATTAAAAAACTCGATTCTTATACAAACACGACAATAGTATAACACAAATGCATTTTGAATGCTTTACTTCTCAAAATTGTAAAATAGCGCGCATTAGTAGCACTTAGCATATTAGTAAGTGAAAGTTACCATTTTTTTTTGGAATATTTATTTGATTTTGGTAATTTTTTACCAAAATTGACATTGTAATTGATTTCAATAAAAATCTTGCTATTTAAAAATATTGCATACATTTAGGCTCATCTTGTTAAAATAATCATTATCTTAACAGAAAACCTTAATAGAATCTTAAACATAACGTTTTTTTTTTGTGTTTAATGATTTTGTTTTCAACAGAAATGAATATTACTAGTAACAGATTTAGCATTTCTTATAAATAAATGTTTTAATTATAAGTGAGTTTATGATTAATTGAGTTTGATTCAAGTATTTCATATATAGACTGAATATTTTAATATTCTTACTCAATAAGATCCTCAATAGACCGAAATATTATACTTACATAATACAATAACTGTGATTCAAGTATAAATTTAAAGCAACTTCACCTCTATTATGAGTGTTCTAAAGACCGTAGTACGTTTAGACTCATTAGTGGTGAGAATGATGAACGATGAACATCATTTACATTACATTTCGTATTCAATTATTTTGGGTAATTTTTTATGAATTGTATAGGAAGCAAATTTTTCTCAATTTCCGGATTAACCTTCAAAAAATAAAAATAAGAAATATTTTAAATATTTATTAAAAATCAATAATGTAAATTACTTATATTATAAATAATATTTTAAGATAAAATTTCTTGAAATACCAGTGTTCTATAATATACAATTTATTGAATTCCTGGAATATAATTTATTAAAAAAAAATTATTTTCTTTAAATTAAATTTTCTCTAATACTCGGTTTCTTCTCTAATGTGTACTCTAGGAAATATCAATAATTCTTTTGTTTTAATGTACCAACACGTCAATCAAATACTTTATGTGCGGAATGGAAAAATATTTTATTTAATTTAAATTAAAATATTAAAACTAATAATATTATATAAAAATTAAATTATAAATTTTTATATTTATTAATTTGAAAATTTTATTTTTGTTTGCCCAAAATTCATTAATATTTATTAGAAGAAAAAAAAAATTAAATTTAAATTAATTTAATAAATTGGCAATCTTATCAAATTACGGAAGTCTGTTTTTTTTGCAAAATTCCAAATATTATGCAATATATGAATTTAGAAAACAGAAAAATTTAAATAAAATATAAGTCGACATACGAGTAGCTATACATACATATGCACATATGACATTGAATTAAATTTACAAAAAAAAAAAATGAAATTTTATATTTAAAGTTCATTACTTTTAATAATTATTTTATTATTAAAGTTTAAACTAACCACATTTTGTAAGCTAGTTTAAATACTATGTATTCTGTATAACAAATACGAAAAACATCTATTTTTGTCTTCTTATCTTGTAAACAAACAAAAGAAAAACCATTATTTTCTTTATAATAAAAATTATAATTTTAATAAAGAATGATAAGAAATGATAAAAAAAAAATAAAATATAATAAAATTATTTTAAAAATAAATCATCTCTTCTTCACTCTCTTAATAATCTCTGTATATAATATATTCAAGGTGAACGTGATGTTTATTTTATAAAAAAAAAATTGAAATTTAAAAGTAAAAATTATGGAATAAAAATCGAAATATTTTTCATCTTATCGTTCAAGTTTAAGCATCAAAACAAGATTAATAGTAAAAAAAAGCAATAATTCGGGGAAATAGAAGAATAATTTTGTTACAAATTTTTTTCTTTATCTAGATTCTAAAATTTAGAACATTTTTCTTTAGTAAGATATGTAATTTTAAATTCTTGACATTATTTTGCTTCTTGGTAAATTAAAAAATTTTGTTGATTTTCAATTATAATTTAAAAATACAAATTTAGACAAGAGTAGAGTCTAGACATAGTTATGTTGTTTACATAACATTTTCTTATTTTGATCTTAATTGTCGTTCTAAATAATTCTAAATAATTTGTTGCTGGTTCTTAGTTCTAAGTAATTAATTAACAATAATAATAATGAACTCATTTTTTGTAAAAATATTTTGAATTAAGAATGTTAAATTACTTCTTCTTCTATGCAGCTAAGTTTCATGTTATAATATGTACAGCATATCATTATATCGCCAATAATTTTGATATTTCTTCAAATTTAATTCTCGAAATTTGTTTTTTACTATATTACGAGTACGAAAAACGGCTTCTTTGTAATTCAATTAATTAATTATTTTCACTGATTAGCAAATATATGAAGTAGACGCTGATATAAAGTAGGTATGCAGAAATTGTATCATCACACAATTACCGGAAAATGTAATTGAATCAAATTGAAAATCATTTTAATAATTCGAATTAATTTTGTATATTAAATCTTAAATTATAACTAGCAAATCACAAAATAGCATAATGATTGGGAAATTAAAAATTCAAGTGCATTTGATTGAGAACATAATTGAGTAAATGGTATTAAGAAATTTTTATTCATATAATTACAAATGAGACAAATATTTTAAAGAGCAATTCAATAATCTATCCAAAAAAAGCTATCCAATCCCAATTTCTTGTTTATTACAATACTTTAAAAATTAATTTTTATTTATTTGCCAAATTAGTACAGTATATATCACAGTAATTTGATTTAAAAAACCTAAAAATTTGGAAATTCTTTACTTAATTTCTTTCATAATATATTGGACACTATGACAATACTTAAAATACCACTGTCGAAAATGTCTACATACATAATTATGTATTTTCTATTACCCAAGAAAATTGCCTATTTTTAGGAGCACACTTAAACCTTAAGTAATAAACTTTGTTGCTAATATTCAAAATTTATATCATGATAGAAAATTTTTAATATGTCTGATATAAAATTTTATTGCACTTGTTCATATAAAAAGCTTTTCTGAATAATACAAAATTTCCGTCGTGTAGTGAGAAGTCATTTGATTTTATTATTTTTTTTTTTTTCAAAAGCGATAAATAATTATGAAAATATTGATGTTTATGCGAGAATTTTAAATGACCTTATAGTTTACTATATAAACTATTAAAAATGTAAATTAAAACTAAGTACAAAATACAATAATTATTTTATGTTTACAAATTTAATTTGCTATCATAAAACTTTTACAATTTTTATTAAAAAAATATTGATTGTTATTTGAATGTTATTAAATAAAAATTTCATTAATATTTTTAGTTTTAACTATATAAGAGCTTCGTTTAACAATAAAAATTTTTTCTTAAATTCATGAAATTCTAGATTTAATTTAGGTTTCCAAAGAGGTAATTACTCTACATAACCCAAAATTGCTCAAGTTACTCGAACTTTCCGATAAAAGAATTTATTGTGCATTTTTCCGAGATTAAAGATCCTCCGTCTTTTGGTGTGAGATTAAAGATCCTCGTCTTTTGGTTTCAACTAATTGAATTTATAAAATTCCGACGTCCGATAAATTTTCCTGCTTTTTTTAAACAGAAACTTTTTGATTTATACAAGTAAATATATTAATAATTGTTATAATATAAAAAAATAAATAACTCTTTTGAAAATATTTTAAAGAAAAATTAAAAAATTTTTATTTTCTTTCAGAAATTGGAAATGGGAGTGACATAGAAAATGAAGAAAGTATTACAAATCTCATCAACGAAGGTAAGATATTTTTCACATTTAAATTTAAAAAGAAATACCTTTATACAAACTATTGTGAATTAGTAAAATTTATTAACTTTCTCAAAAAATTAAAAATAACAGAAATTTTTAAATGAAAAGTTGCATATGGTTTCCAAGTTAAAAGCTTTTTAGAACCAGTTAATTTGAAGTTTTATTTGAAAGCGCAACAATTTTTATTTATAAAATACAAAAGTTCAACACATCAAGCTTATGTGTATTTTTTTTATCATTAAAGGATGTGGTGAAAAACTTAAGAAAGGTGAAATATTTGAATATCTCATAACTTTTTTGTCGCCAAAATTTATGCAATATTATTTTTATAAGAAAAAAACTTCAATAAATGAAAAATTTATTTAATAGCTAGCTGGCTAGCTAGGCAAATTTTTGACTTTACCTATTTTACTAATTGCTTTATTTAAATTAATTTCGACAATTAAGTATAAAAAACTTTCTGTCATAATTCTCAGTAATCAATTTTGAGAACAAAGAATGAAATTGCATAACTGACGGAGAAAATTAATTTTAATTTAAAAAATTCAGAAGAAAAGAGCACTTTAATTTTATTTTTTGAAAATAAAATGCACAACTAGCTACTTGAATTATTTTGAAAAATTTGAATTTATGCAAATAAACCTATCGACAAACATTTCTCAAGCAACGATTATAAGCTTCATTGTTTTATTCCTAGCACCATTATCCAAATAATAAAATATTGCGACAATCTTAAGTTAATACATACTAAATAGTTTGAAATCACAAAGTTACGTGTTTTAACTTATGCTTGAGTATTAATCTTTCCAGAATTTCAATTACTACAGCTTTCGATTTTGAATTAAGTGTGAACACTATAATGTGCATATATCAACCCTAATGAATAATAAAAGAGTGCCAGTGCAGGAAATATAGCAAAAAAATATGAAAATTCGCTCTTTTCTGTTCTATTTTGAGTTAAATGGGTTTATTGTCTATAAATTTTATAAAACAATTTATACAAGGTTTAAAAGAAAGTTATTCAATTTATTGAACGATTACTGCCTTATTATGAAGCATTTCTCGTATGATAAAGTTAAAATTTAGAAACATTTATTGATCCAAGATTATAGGATTACAGAACGCACAATGCGTTGACAATGAGCATGATAAATAACTAGAAAAATAATAGGACAATTGTTGGGCACTTATTAAATAGATTTTAAACATAACCGCTTATTTTCAACTTTTTATTATTATTTTGTTACTTAAATTAAATTGTAAATAAAATAAAAAAAATTAAATTAAATTTAAATGCGCGTTAATTTTTTTTCTATGTTTTCTTCAGAATTCTTTCAATAATATAAGCCACCCACCAATTTTCAGGGCTAAAAAAAGAAAAAAAAAATAAATAGATAATAGTTACTTTTCCTTGGTCACTGTCATGGCATTTATTAAATTACAAATTAAAATTAGAAAAAAAAATCAAAACAAAACAAAAACAATTTATTTTATTGATTCTCGAAGCGTCATTTAAAAAAAAATAATACTAAAGGACAAGGTAAAGGACACGTGAAATATATATAACACAAATATTATTAAAATATAAGTATATAAAAAGGACAATGATAGTAAAAGGACTTCATATTATTTTTTTTCTATTCTTGTATTTTAAATAAAATGATAGGCACACACACACAATAATTTTTCGATCAATAATTTTACTAATTATTTAAGTGATTTCTTTAAATTTAATTTATATATGACTACCTATGTATGTATGTAATGTATGTATATATGTATGTATTAATAAAAAAAATTTTTTTATTCCCCTTTCAGATTCAGAACTTTCTGGACTGTCACATGTTGGTAAGTAATTGTTGAAAATTATTATTGAAATGTTAATTTCAGTTAAAGTATGCTATCAGATATGTAATTTTTGTTGAATTATTTAATATACTCATTTCCATTAACAAAATACAAATGGTACAATAATAATGTAAAATTAATTTGTCTGAAAATAAATTTATAAAATTTTTGTATTATCATTTTCTATATTGAATTCTTAAGAATTTTTCTTAATACGCAATTTGAATTTTTATAGAAAATTTGAACTTGTGTAACAATATTGGAAAACCTTTATTTATCATTTATTGCAATTAAAATAAAAATTTCGAAAATTAATTTTTGAATTATAAAACTTTGGGTCGTATTAATCTCAACAAATGTACCTCTATTAAATTTTGTGTTTATATGTCAATTAAATTTAATTATTTTTTATTAGCTTGTCTTAAAATAGTAAATTTTCGAAGTCAAAAACGATCTTAATTGAGGTATTACTGTATTGATAAGACTGCAGAACACGTTGTACATTGCACGTACTCCTTGTTTAACACACATTTTTCCTTCCTTATACTTATATTGATAATTATTAGCAAAAATAGTGACTACAAAATGTTCTATAAATTCTTAGTATTGCATATATTAAGACGAAACAAAACTATAAGTTAAAAATAGTTATTGGTATTTCTATGAGCAATCGAATGATATTGTGGGAACAATGAATGCTCTTTTTAGTAGATTATTAAAAAGGAATTCAGCATTTTTCTTCAGATTTTCCACATCCTTCTATAACCAAGACGGTTTCGTAAGATCAAAAACTATATTGGACAAAGAAGAAATTTAATTTCTAATTAATGAAATTTTAATTAAATTTTCATACATCCTTTTAGAATTTAATAAGGTGATGAAGGGTGTTACAGTTCGATTTAGTTATTCTAAATAAAATGGTGTAATTCTCTGTGTATACCCTTTTATTTTGTTACACACATACAATTTTTAATAAAAAAAAATTGAATTTCAGTGGAATTTCTGGTCACTTTTATCTCACATTGGAAATTAAATAATTATAATAATTATAATGATAAAATAATATGAGAAAAGTGCTAGAAGAACTGAAAACTGTTCTTTAATATTTTTCAAAATTGGCATACTAAAAAATTGCGAATTCGGGGATATTAAATTGTTAACACATTTCTAAAGGATTATACAATATATCAGATAAATTTTTGCAGAGACAAAAGTATTGAATAAATTTACGGTATCTACTACTATCACATGCGCGTCAGTTTCCAAATTCTATATCTACTATCCATCCTTCTATTTAGTGTTATGAAACCTTTGAAAATAACGTCAATTATTATCATGTATTTACATAAACCCATATATTGTATAATTGTATGAATTTGCATCATCATCATTATTTTGTGTATATTTCGAATTTATTACAATGTCTACTGGTTTTCAATTGAATAAATCACTTAAAATCCGATAAAAATTATGTGTGATTTATATTTGTTTTTAATTAGAATTATTATATACAATTATAATAATAAAAGCAAAAATTTGTGAATCACGTTATAAAAGCGTGCGATATATATTTTATGATGACATCCAATCAAAGGTTATTATTGGATAAAATTCTATATGTAATATAGCGCAATATGCGAATTGAATGAGAACTTAAATTTTGCGCTAATAATAATACATTGAAGTCATTTCATATCTATTGTAATTTATTGTAAGACATTTAAATTAATATTGAATGTTAACAGACACTAAATTGTAAGCTAAATTTAGCAGTTAAAATGATAACAGAAAATATGGTGTACAATTTTATTTAATTAACTATATATGAATTTTCTACAGAGCATATGAAATATTTAATTTGATAAATTGTTTTTTGATTGGAACCGCAGTATAAATTATAATTATATGTAAAGGAAATGTAGTGTAGCTCTAAGCAAATTTGTTGATTTTTTATTTAAATGTGTGTATAAGGAAGTAGACATGAGTATAACCGAGTTGAAAATTTAAATTGTCGTAAAATAAAATCTTAAATATTTCTCTAAATTATTTTAGTTCTAATTTTTTTAATATTAATTGTTGTACTCCTGGTTTCTGGAAGGAAGGTTTCTAAATAAAGGCACTTGCACTACTCCTGTTATTCATAAGCAAGAAATTTTGATTTTCGTATACTGGATCAAAAATTTTCTTCAAGAATTTTTTCAAATTTTCCATTAAATTTAGGAATCCTGCAACAATACAACAATCCATAGCTTAAAGTCATCTTTGGCATCTAAAATTTACGACTTTAAAAGAAATAACTCAAAAAGAGATTTATACGTCATTTTAACATACAAAATAAATCACAAATTTTTTATTATTCAAAAAAAAACACATAAAACGACCTAAAGTAAGGGAAGAGTATTTAAAACTTTTAAAAACTTATATATATTTTTCCTTATATCAAAGTTAAATTAGGCGAGAAATTGCTGTATTATTCAACCTCTGCATTTAAATGCGCAGAATTTCCATAATTTAACCTTCTAATATCGAAAAATCAGGATTCTTACCCCGTTTATGACCGAATGCAATGATTTATTCTGATATTATGCCGGCTTTAACAATGCTATTTTAAAATTAATGAAAATATGCCATTACTAAAACTGAAAATATGCCATTATGGGTAAATTTTTATTTTTTCGAATAATCAAACAAATAAATAAAAGAAAATAATTAAAAATTCTAAAAATAGTTTAATTAATCTTATTGAATTTAATTCAAGAACAATAATATAACAAATAAAATACAAATAAGTTTAATTTTGCCGAAATTTTTTTCGAACTTTATTATTTATAGTATAAGAAAAACGTAATAATTGTAAAATACCATATTTGTCAACAATAATTTTAAATAAAATAAAATGTCAATTCCATATTCTCTTCTATAAACACCTATAGATCCATCCATATACAAATTGTCACTGACCTTTTCAGAAATATCATTCGTTTACATTATAAAGGTACCTAAATATGTGTGTGGTAATGCATTATATATACCCCAAAATAAAAATATAATATACATATGAATACTTCTTGGGTACACAATATTGTAGTAAATATGAAAAATATAATAAAATTATAAAAAATTGTTCAAATATGAACATGAGATGATGAAAACCATCAATATTCGCGTATATAAGAAACCTTGCACTTGTAAAAGTTGATCAACTTTTTTAAGTGACAATTTTTTTTTTTTAGTATATTTACCTGTACAACTGTTCAATATATTGCATGTCGACAAATAGACGACATTTTTAATATAATATCAATGAAATTTTATTGAAAAGAATTTTAACTTTTTCCAATTAATTCTTTGAAATATTAAAATTAAAGTACTTATAAGTTAAATAAGTTTCTTAAACTATATTGGATTTTATTGCAATATTCTGATGAACTTGAAATGAGATTAAGATACAAGGCATTTAATATAAAAATTTCAAAATAATTTTTAAATAATTTATTGAATTACTCTTAAAAATTAAAAGCTAATAATTTAGACCGCATATATATTTCAAAAATTTATTGATGATTACTTAAATTATTCTATACTGTCTAGTCAGAATTTCTGATTTTAATTGATATAAGACATATTAGCAGTCCCTTCCATTGCACTTAATATTTATTTTAAATTTCTTGAATTGCATACTTTAAAAATTTCATGTAGGAAATTACATAATTTTTGTCAAAACTTTTACCATATATTTTCTACATGTTCCTACAAAATTAAATTGCATATCCTATTCCATTATACTGGTTCATTAGCGCAATAAGATGCGATTTACTTCGATATAGAAAATTTAAAGTACAATATAATAAGGAATTTAGGAAAATTTAAAGGATACTTGAAAGAATTAACGTACTTTACGCAGATATCTAGAAAAATGATGAAATATTCTTAGAATATTGTAACGTCATTTTCAAAAATCCTTTATTGACGCCAACATTTTCTTTTCCACCTGTTGAATCTTATTACTTTAGTAGTCTTACTTTATTATATATATACAAAATTTTTCGTTAACGCACAATATTAAGGTCATAAAATTAAGGACATCAAGGATTATAAAATATTTTTCTTATATACTTCTCGTTCATTTAATTCAATTAGTTAGAGCAACCACGTTTAAACAGAAATTTCCTCAATAAATTTATTCAAGGATTTCAACGTCAATACCATGAATAAATTTTTCGATTCTAATAAAGTGTGTCACAAAGCAACAAAAAATAACGAAAAAATTTATTTACATAAATTAATTTGCTGAAGTTCAATAACATTCAAATGTTTTATCGGGATAAAATTATGGATCAATCTATGTTAATGGAGTTCATGAAAAATTTCAAGGAAATTATTTAAATTTTCAACTTGTTGCTATTTTTTATAAGTATGTGGATTTGAAGAATAAATTTGTTGCGCTCAATATTTGAATATTTTTAAAATTATTACCATAAATTAATTAATAAGTTTGTATTCTGCCATTAACATTGTTCCTATGCCATTAATACTAAATTTTTAAGTGTAACAATTGGTTAGAAAATTAAAATATCTACACTAATAACAAAATTAATTACATTTAATTTCTTAGGAGTCATAGTTGCGTAAATACTCTATTCTTTACGGGTTTTGCTTTTCTAAACTTGTGTATTAAATGTACTAAAATTTTTTATAGATTGCCATAAGTTGAAATTTCACTTTAATGCCTTAATAATAATCGAACTCAAATTATTACCTATATTAGCCGGATTTTCCCAGTATATACAAACCAATTAAATTTATTAAATTATTTTCAATAGAATTACAAAATTAATTTAATCCTGTTCTATAAATGAAATATACAAATCTATATAATTTTAATTGTACAAACTATAATTTTTTTTCTATATACGAAATTATTGACTTACAATGGCTTTTACATTAAATTTAATATTTAATTATTTCCCCATTCCTTTTATTATTATTATTTTTAATTC